ATTATTCCCCTCTATTCGGCACTGGTGAGGCCACACCTGGAGTATTGCGTCCAGTTTTGGTCGTCCCCCCCCCCCCACTACAGAAGGGATGTGGACAAATTGGAGAGAGTCTACTGGTGGGCAACGAAAATGACTTACGAGAAGAGGCTGAGGGAACTGGGCTTATTTAGTCTGCAGCAGAGAGGGGATTTGATAGCAGCCTTCAACTACCTGAAGGGGGGTTCCAAAGAGGATGGATCTAGACTGTTCTCAATGGTGGCAGATGACAGAACAAGGAGCAATGGTCTCAAGTTGCAATGGGGGAGATCTAGGTTGGATATTAGGAAACACTATTTCACTAGGAGGGTGGTGAAGCACTGGAATGGGTTACCTAGGGAGGTGGTGGAATCTCCATCCTTAGAGGTTTCTAAGGCCCGGCTTGACAAAGCCCTGGCTGGGATGATTTAGTGTTGGTCCTGCTTTGAGCAGGGGGTTGGACTAGATGACCTCCTGAGGTCTCTTCCAACCTTGAGATTCTATGATTCTGTGATGGGTTCTCCTAAACAAAATAAGTCAATGTAGTTATTTAATTATTATTACCATGCTGCTCATTTAGTATTACTCATTGCATTCACAGACACTCCATACTACTTTAAGGGTGAAATTGTAAAAAGGAAGATCTATCTATTTCAGCTATTTATTTTTGATCAGAACTGCATAAAAATGATAGTACCATAGAGTAATAACTATATATTTTTTGCTCAAACTTGAGAATTCAAGAATAGTCCAGAAGGAAGACAGTATGAAATAAAAAAAGTTTACCAACCCGAAGACCCTGCATGTTCAGAAATGTTCCTTTCATCATCTTCAATGCAGCTTCCTCCTGAGAAGGAACACGTCCCATGATGTTGTTTCATTCAGGAAACCAAGCCTTGCATTTCTTTGTTGCACTGTTTGCATTTTGCACCCATGCCTGTTTTACACACAGGTAGAGGAACGTCATTAAAATATTTCCAAACTGGGGCTCTTTTAAAGCCTCTTGCTATTATAGGTTTTCCCTTTTAGTGAGAGAATGGTATGGTAGATCTCAAATCAATGAAGGCTACACTCAGAAAGACCTCAAGTCTTCTGGAATATGTTTCTCACACAGTTTCACTTTTGTTTCTACTGTTTGTCCCTTCCTTCTCAGATTTATCTCCAGACTTCTCTTTGTCCAGATCTATTCCACCCCCAACAATCTTCTATTCATTGAACTTTTTGAAACTTTTCACTTTTAGAGAGAGGTAAGGAACTGACTTTGTGAACACAAATTTGCAGAGGGACAATAGGGTTGAGGTCTGTTATTTCTCACCTCCTTATATTATTTATTTATTTTAAAACATTTTTGCTGTTAACAAGCATGTTATCTGGAGACACAAATCCACAGTTTGAGAACTGCAAAACTAAGCATCTCTGATAGTATCTTCCAAACTGAGCACTGAGTCCCTTTGGGTAGATAGAAAGATTAACCTAAATAATCTACACAAAAGCCTCTGGAACCCCATAAGATTGGATCCCTAATCCATGAATTATTGGAACTCATTTACAAAACTCTTCTTAAATGTTACATGAATATATTTTCTCATACTATAGAATTAGAATTTATAATCCCTGTTCCATGATGAGATATCTTTGAGTTATAGTTTTCATTAAGGTACATTATCTTTAGATAGGTTGTTTTTCCACAAAAAGCATTTTATGAAAAAGATCTGATTTAAATAAAAAACATTCGATTTAAAAAAAAAAATCATTGATTTTTATCCATCCTGCCCCAGAGCAATGCATGCACCAAGGGATGACAGGTGTCTTCTGCACTCGTCTGTGGGCCCTATGTGGTGGGTGTGCTCAGGCCGCTTGCTGGATCAGACCCACGCATGAGCTCACAACAGTGTGGGAGGAGCCGAGTGGTTTGAGCATCGCCTGGGGTGTGGGAGACGCCTGGTTCCAGCCCCCCTCTGCCTGCGGGGGAGACAGGATTTGAGCAGGGCTCTGCCACCTCACAGGTGCTCTAGTCCCTGAGCTGTGGGGCCCCCTCTATCACTTCTGTGGGAGCTGTTCCTCTGGGGAGAATTAAAACTGGGCCAGAGAGCAGGGGCGTGAGACTGGCTCTGTAGCCAGGTGTTTGGAGCCTTCACCTGGGAGGTGGGAGTCCACGGGTCCAGTCCCTCTGCTCCACTGACCCTAATTAGTTAGCCAGGGAGGAGCAGCGTCAGCAGCCCTGCTCGCTGGATCAGGCCTGTCTGATTGTGACTGAAGGGGAGTGAAATGGACAGTGGATAGGTCTATCAATGGCTATGAACCAGGATGGGCAGGGATGGTGTCTCTAGCCTCTGTTTGCCAGAAGTTGAGAATGGGTGACGGGATGGATAACTTCATGATTCCCTGTTCTGTTCATTCCCTCTGGGGCACCTGGCACTGGCCACTGTCGGAAGACCGAATACTGGGCTAAATGGACCTTTGGTCTGACCCAGTATGATCATTCTTATGTTCTTAATAAATTATAGTAAATTGTGTGAACAGCCGGAGCCCTGGCTCCCACCTGCAGCTTGGACACATCCCCTTGCTCTCCTCCAGTTTCAGCTCCTGCATCTCGTACCCCCCAAGCCCTTGTTCCTCTCCTACCCTCTCCCATAAAATCCCCCTCCTGCTCTTCACACCCCCTTCCATCCCTGCCCTTCCTTCTGGGCTGCTTTTCCTTCTTCACACTCCCCTTCAGCCCTGCCATACCCCCAATACACTCTCCCCATCTGCTCCCTTATTCCTCACGCATGCTCCCGCCCCCCTATACCTCCTCACCCCCTTCCTCTCCTCACTCCCCCTCCGGCCCTGCCCACACTTCTCCTCTTACCCAAGCCTCTTTCTCCCCGGTCAGGCCATTGTGTGAGCCCTTTCCCAGGTCTCCCTCCCACAGGAGCGCTCCTGAGGGCTGGTGCCACCTCTTGTGTATTGCCAGGGGCTCCCTGGCAGGGTCTGATTGGGTCTAACTCCCCCCTCCCCCAATCTCCCCCCCTCAGGCCTGCACTCCAGGCGCATGTTCCACACGGTGGTGTCAGAGCCTGGCCCGGGGCTGCCCTGGTACAGCCGTGTTGCGTATGTGGATGATCAGGTGATCTTTAACTACACCAGCGGGATGCAGAGGGTGGAGCCCTGCACAGCGTGGATGGCGCAGAACGAGGGCCCAGAGTTCTGGGACCTTCAGAACTTTTGGGCACGGCGCTGGGAGGCCTGGTTCAACGCGAGTCTGAACACCCTGCGTGAGCTCTACAACCACAGTGAGGGTGAGTGCGGCACACGGCCTGACCTAGGGACGCAGGTACATGGGGCGGGGGAGAGGGAGCGCGGTTGATGTAAACAGTGTGAAGCGATAGCGTGTTGGGGATGTAGGGAGGGGACAGCCATCAGGTGCATTTTCTCACTGGAGTCAGTGTGAATGTGGGGGACAAAGGGGGGCTGCAGGATGGAGGTTCCATGCGAAAGACATTTTTGACACCCTCCAAAGTGGAACTCTCATACTGTTCCCTTCCCAAACACCCCAGTTTTCTGCTACCAATCCCACTTGCAACTACCTTTGCTGCCCTTCGGGGACCCCCTGCCGCTCATGTTGCCGCTCATGTGTGGTTATTTCCCAGGCAGAGTGGCAGAGGTGAGAAAGCCAGAAGATCCCATCAGACCCAGCTAGTCTGACCTCCTGGTGGCCCAGGCCAGAGAATCGCACCTAGGAATTCCTGCATAGAGCAGTTTGTTCCTCCCAGCTATGAAAGTGACGCTGTCAGACCCTAGAGCTAGAACAGGGCTCTGAGACATCTTGTCTCAATTCCCAGACACCAAGTGATGGGGAATCCCAATATCGACAACCCCAAGTGTTCAAACATCACAAGTCAGACCCCCAAAATCCTGAGTTTGGCTTAAATGTCATGAGTATTTTGGGAATAATATTGGAGGTTATTTTTATTTGCCCTCTGGTTTGAGCCTTAGGGGACATATTTCCAGGGTTTTCCCTGATCCTAGAAGGACTAGAAGTTACTGCTGTAAGAAAAGAGAGCTGAGACTCTCCTCTAATCCCATGAGTCCAGGAACTGGGGATTTAATAAAACCACCCACTATCATGAGACGCACAGTAAAGTCACAAGAGCAGGCAGTGCTGCATTCACCCCAGCCTTGGGGAGAAGCTGCTCACCGGTGAGCCTCCTTCATTGTTCATTTTGTCTTATTTCCAGAGTGAGTTTATTTAAGGTCAGATTCCTCTTCGCTCCTCAGGAGGAGGGACTGACATCGACTTGGGCTGGAGAGTTGTTAAAGAATCAGCCCCTACAACGTGCAGAGACTCCCGGTCTTCCTTACTCCTGGGAGCACAACCCCAGCACGTGTCCCCTGGTTGGAGCCCCCGGGGTCAGGCAGGTTCCCCTGCACACTATCGATAGATGTGTAAAGAACTGTTCTTCCTGCTCAGTCCCCAGTGTGCGGGGCTGTAGCCACCTGGATAGGCCCCCGATTGGGCTGTCTCATTTAGCTCGGTGATGATCCATAAGCGTTCAGTGCCTGGCGCTGCTGAACTGTCCCTGGCAGGTGAGGGTCTCTCTGATGTAATTGCTCTGCCCTTCCTGACAGGGGACTGGCGAGTGAAAATCCCTGATTCCCCCATGTCAGTGGTACTGGCCTGTCACATTGGTCCTCACTCAGGAGTGTCCCCAGCCCCTTGTTGTAACACCCCCACCCTGGCCCCAATCCCTCCTTTCTCCCAGCACTGGGACAGCAGCAATGAGAACTAATTCCCGTTCTGCCCTGGACACCTGGGTTCCTGGCGGCCCTGCCCCAGGACTAAGCGACAGGGCAGAGGGTTGCCAAGTGTCTGCCCCCCTAGCCCACCCCCTCTGTAGCTAGTTTAACCCTCTCCTGACTAGTATCACCCATTGGTTCCCTGCTGCTGAGCCTGTCCAACCTGACCCGCTCACACGGACACCGGTCTCCCCAGTGCTGAGTGAGGGGCTCTGCTCGCCTGCCCCTAAGCCTGCGCTGGGGAGCTGCTGTTCTGTCCCCACTGCCCCCTCCTGCTTCCTCCCACCATTTGCCCCCTCCTTGCAGTCCTGGGGCTGCCAGCTTGCCGGAGACTGTCCTGAGTCCTGCACCTTGGCCACCAACAGTGTTCCCCTCTCTAGCTGTGTCTGCCCCCAACACGCACGTGGGGGAATTCGGGGTCTGGTTCCTCTGAGCCGGTGCAAAGGGGCCAAAGGGGAAGCGGCCCAGAGAGAGAGACGCACAAGGGGAGAGAAGGAGGGCAGGAAGGCTGCCACCAAAGGGACCCTGGGTTGGGACCCAGTGTAGAGGGCAGGCCTGGGTCCCCCCCTTCCCCCTTGCATGGGCACCCAGCCATTGGATATGGCAGTAGCGGACTGCACCAGACCCCCGACACGGGTTAGATTTTGGGGTGTGGTTGACCACTGTGGCTGGGGTGCAGAGAAAGACTGCTGTTAACCCACTCTCCCCCAGGAAGGGGGTGAAGATGGACTAGGGGGTACTGCCGTAGGGCAGTGGCCTGAAACAGATGTCGCCGAGCGGTGGCAATGCGGGTCCAAACACTAGCGAGGAACAGACGACGGACGGGACACCACCAGCAGAGGGTGCTCCCCATGGACCGAGCTAATTCCCAGAGCGACCAGCGGGAGGCGCCACGGTGCTGAGTCCCAACCCTGTCACAGCATGTATCATTTTTATGTCTGAATTTAGGGAAATAAGATACAAACTTGTATTTCTCTGTGTGTGCTGATGAGTGGCCCATCAGCAAACATTTAACTAACAATGGACTTTTGGGAGACCCCAGTCCACATCTGCTGAGCTAACATGTAAACAATGGCTTCAGCCTGCAAGAAGCTGAATCGTTCATGGACATACGACTTGCCCATGTAGCTACAAACTCCAACTTGCTGCGGTGATTTTGCACAGAAGAACAAAGGAGTTTCCGCCCATGAGAGAGAGCATATAAAAGGCCCTGGAAGCCCCTCCATTTTGGTTTTGAGCTAGCTCCAGAGTCTGCCAGTCAGGAGAACACCCCTGTTTATCACCTGTGATGTAAGCTGGAACTAACAAGGACAGTACCAGGGGAAAGGATTGGGCCCAGGCTAGGAAAGTATCCAGTCTGTTAAGTATGCTTATTGGAACATCTTTGAGGGTGAGATATTACCTGTAATAGATCCTCAGTGTATTAAGTTAGCCTTGCCTATTTTGATTTATTTTACTTAGTAACTTATCTTGTTCTGTCTGTTATTACTTGAAACCACTTAAATCCTACTCTTTATACTTAATAAAATACTCTGAGTTTATTAATAAACAAAAGTGAAGGGATTAATACCTGGGGGTGGGGGGGTGCGCAGTGGCAAATAGCTGTTCATATCTCTCTATCTGTGCTATAGAGGGCAGACACTTTATGAATTTACCCTGTATGAGCTTTATACAGAGTCAAACGGATTTGTTTGGGTTTGGATCCCATTGAGAGCTGGGTGTCTGGGTGCTGGAGACAGATAACTTGCTAAGCTATTTTCAGTGAAGCTTGCAGCTTTGGGGATATGGCCCAGACCCTGAGTCTGTGTTGAGCAGGCTAGCCTGTCTGGCTCAAGCAGAACAGGGATCTGGAGGTCCCAGGCTGGCAGGGAAAACTGGCAGGCTCAGCACATCAGGTGACAGTCCCACTGGGATCTCTGTGACCCAACCCGTCACAGGCTACACCTGCAAATCCAGGAACCCATCCCCCTGAGGGACTTAAACCTGGTCCTGTCAAAGCTCATAGGGGCTCCCTTTGAGCAGCTAGCATTGTGCCTTCTGTTGTACCATTCCTGGAAGGTTGCCTTTCTGGTAGCAATTACCTCAGTCAGGAGGGTCTTGGAGATTAGAGCTCTTATGTCAAAACCTCCGTATACAGTGGAGTCACACTTTACGCGGGGATTAGGTTCTGAAGTCAATGCTTAAGGCGAAAATCGCATATAGCCAAACACTCATTGAGTGGAATGTCGGGCTGAATTGCCCGCACTACAGGTACAATATTTAAATTGTTATTTTTCTTCTTTTTTTTGCCGAGCGTGTATAGTTAAAATCGTGTAAGTTGAATCCGCATATGATGCGACTCCCCTGTACAGTGTTCTTTAAGGACAAGGTACAACGTCGTCCCCACCCGGGGTTCCTCCCAAAGGTAGTCTTGCAGTTCATAGTAATCAAGGTATTTTCCTGCCCATTTTCTTCCCAAATCCATTTAAGAATAGGTAGGAATGGCGTCTCCACACTCTGGATATTAGGCGCGCCCTAGTATTCTATATAAAGGACTAAGTTGATCCGTAAATCCACTCAACTCTTTGTGACAGTAGCTGATAGGATGAAAGGCTCAGATAATTTCATCCTGGATCATGTTGTGCATTCACATGTGGTACAAGTAGGCAGGTATCCCACCACCTGCCTTCCTGATGATCCATTTTATGAGAGTACAAGCTTCCTCAGGGATGTTCGTGGCCCAGGCCCAATCCAGGACATTTGCAGAGCAGTGACCTGGGCACCAGTACATACTTTTTCTTCCAACTACGCCATCACCCAGCAAGCTAGAGATGACACTGGGTTTGGTTGGGCAGTGTTGTAATCCACATGTCCATGAATTCCGAGCCCACTTGTTACGGTACTGCTTGGGAGTCACCAAACATGGAATGGATATGTGCAAGCATTTGAAAAAGAAAAAATGATTCTTCTTTGAGTGCTTGCTCATGTCTATTCCACAGTAGGTGTGCGTGCTCGCCACGAGCACCCCAGTGCCGGAAGTTTTTCTCTCAGCAGTACCCGTAGTGGGAGCACTGCTGCAACCCCTGGAGTGGCGCCTGTATAGCACGCTATAAGGGGAGCCGCGCACTCCCTCCACCCTCAGTTCCTTCTTGCCGCCAGTGACGGTGCATCGGAACTACTTGCTCCAGCTTTGCTGCAGCTCATCCCAGAACTCGTTTCGTTGTTAGTAGTACCTGCGTTTGTTAGTTCAATAAAGTTTCAGCTTAGTTAGTTAGTTAGTCTTCAGGCCGGGGGATGCCCCAGGCCGCAGGGTTTAAATTGTGCGAGTCTTGCAGGCGTTCGATGCCTAGAAGTGACCTGCATGCCGACTGTCTCCGCTGCTTGGGTGAATCTCACATCAGCGACTGCTGTAAGATCTGCAGGTCCTTTAAACCCAGAACTAAAAAAGAGAGAGACATTAGACTTCGGGCCCTTCTCATGGAGTCGGCACTGGCCTCAACCCCGATGTGCCGAGCGGAATCGG